CCCCCCCCCCTAACCGCTAAATCCCCAAGCAGCGAACGCAACGACGATCTGCCCCACTCCGGGCGCGCGCGTGTGTGTGCGTCGAGCGACGGAGATGAGGGCCCCACTCTCCCGAGCGGCGCAGCGACGCCGTCCGGCAGCCCAGGGGGCTCGGTGAGAGAGAGAGAGAGAGAGAGAGAGAGAGAGAGAGAGCGAGAGGGACCGAGTGTTCCGCGGGGTGCTCCCGGTACGCTGACGCGCATGCGCCCCGTAATAACGCGACTCCACGGTCTCGCTTAGGATAGCGGAATCGGTCGCCGCGACCGTGGCCCGACTTTCTTCCCTCCTTCCCGACCCTTCCGAATATATTCAATGGGCGCTGTGCTTTCTTAAACTCCTTCGTCTATCCGATTATCGGGCAAACCCTACTTTTACTAATTATTTCGGTATTGTTGTAGCCTACTCCTCCGAGACATCGGGGAGAAGTCGAAGGCGTGCTGAAGTTAATTGTAATTCAGCACATGCGAAAAATCACTGATCTTCCTCCGTAATAAGATACCACTTTTAGTCAAACATATATAAATATTGGTAAAAATATATGTATATTGGTAATTGGTAATTGCTGCATTACATTGGCATTGCGCTCGATTCTTCTGTTCTGTCCTTGTCCCTCTCTCTCTCTCTCTCTCTCTCTCTCTCTCTCTCTCTCTCTCTCTCTCTCTTCATTGTATTCTTTTTTTTTTTTTTCCTATCGACTTTTCAAATCTACGATATGTCCAATTTTCAATTATAAACAAGCACAAATGTTATTTTCATTGTGCATTACTGAATATTTTATGAGCGGTATGTGCTTCTTGAGTCATGCGATGAATAATTTGATTATTTCCATAAATTCTATCAAACTAACATTTTATCTCATTCTCATTAACGTACACTGCCAACGAATCCTGCTTTCGATAATTTTTCTTTCACTTTACTTATTCTTTGTATCTCACCGCACTTTATTACCATATCTCCCGTTGTTGTAACAAGGTATCCTGATAAATAAACCTGATAAATACTCTACGATTTTTATAAAGCGCTATTATTTCGACGTCTATGTAATTAATAATAAAAATAAATCTTTTTTCTTTTTTCTTTTTTTTGTAAGAAAGTGTAGCAACCGCGCAATGATACAATCATTGTGTATTTTCATCGTTTTGGGGACAAAATTTTTTACCAACTCTATTCTGATGCAACACCGACGTAAATTAAGTTCTCGTACTTCGGCACTTGCATCATGCGATGGGGATATTCTTTCCAACAGCTTTATTATCTTACCTTTATGATATTCCTAAGAAATATTCCATGCCTATTTGCTACATCATTGCTGCCGATATTTATTAATAATAATAATTATCATTATTCTTGATGCTAATGTGCTCGGTCGGACAACGATATTAATTTATATGTAATCCGGGTGTACGTGACATAACCATTTACCTTTACAATGCGAGTCGAAGCGATTCTATTTTCATGTAATTAAAGTGGAGCAATAACTCAGCCAACTATCATTAATTAAACGCATTGTTGAATAATAATGGTCGTTGCACGAAGGCAACGCGGGCCTTTGGATAATGCAACGTAATCCATTGCTCTATAACGATGTGTAACGAGGTAACGCATACAATGGCCCTCAAGGCATAAACGAGCGCTCGCGCGCAGATCTGAAATATTCATTTTTCCCATCTCTCGTTTCCTTGGGCAGAAGAACTACCGGGCGGCCGTGACTACAAGCGCGGGGGATACACGAGGCCTTTCCCGGCGTTAGTCTGCCCTTGCTACGGGCTCAAAAAATTTCGTCGGTCCCCACTTTACGCGTAACGTGCTCTCATGCACATCCGCGTCGGGGCACAAAAGTCTCTCGCCAACATTGGATGCTCGCAACGGGCGGTGGGAGCGTCGTTAGCCGCGGGGGCGGGTGAAAAATGCGGCGGACGCGACGTGGGAGGGGGACGGGTCGACGAGGGAAGGAGGGAGGACGATGGTGGTGTTGGTGGTGGTGGTGGACGCGCTGGTGGGTAGGGGCGGCTCACCTGGCCCATACGGAGCGCAGGTGACGGCGACACAGCGATCCGACTATAGGTTTGCGCGTTGCCATGGTGACCGACACAGGAAGAAGGGTCCCCTTGGTCAGCGAAAAACCTAACCTCCGAGCGAGAGTATGTGCTTCTTTTCTTCCCGTCCCGTTCCCCATTCCACGGTCACCCACTCGCATTCTCTCTCTCTCTCTCTCTCTCTCTCTCTCTCTCTCTCCAGCTTGGCTCGCTCCCTTGCTCGTTCCTTCGCTCTCACGCACACTACGTAACGCGTGGGATTCGGATGGCCGAAATCATATACGCGACGGCCGGTTGTTGGTGGCGGGGGGGGGGGCAGAGGCGTAAAGGGAGAGGAGATACGAGGAATCCGAAGGTGTAGACCGAGCGAGACGTGTCCCCTTCCGCTATCTTTCATTTCGAGTGTACGAACGTACCTCGTGCCTTGAGAAATTAACTTTTTTAGGGCTTTATTGCAGGGGCATTTGTTGCACGGCTCTGCGATAATTAGGAAGGTTCGAATCTTTAAACGAAGCGTATTTATTTTCATTTTGCGCTTATCTGGAGAAAACTGGGCTGTCTATTAAAAGCTATGTAGTTGTTATCGCTTCATGCGTTATCTCTATAAAATTAATTACGGAAATTTAATTATCATTTTTTAGCTCGATATAGTCGCATATGACTAGAATTACATTAATAGTTTGTTTAAAAATTTTATCGAAATATATAGTCATATAGCATGAAGAAGAAGAAGAAAAAACCGAGAGAGAAAAATGAAAAACAATGTCGGTTAATTCTATCTTCTCTAAAAATTTCTACTTAAAATATGATTTGTATGGAAACTGGTTTTAGGAATTCGAGGCTCGACAGAGTGCAATTCTGAAAATTTAAACGAATATGTTTATCTACCTAAAATAGAGTTTCAATTTTCAAAAAGGAAAATAAAAAAAGCTACGGACTTTAGCTTTAAATTTTCAATATATATATATATATATATATATATATATATATATATATATATATATATATATATATATATATACTAAAGTAAATTTAATCGGTTTGAAAATTACGATTCATTTATCATTCGCAATATATTATACGATAGAAATA